TTTTTTTTTTTTTTTTTTTTTTTTTTTTGGAGGGAGGCTAGGCACTAGGTTTAAGTGACTTGCCCAGGGTCACACAGCTAGTAAGTGTCAAGTGTTTGGTCTGAGGCTGGATTTGAACTCTGGTCCTCCTGACTCCAGGGCAGGTGCTTTATCTACTGCGCCACCTAGCTGCCCCTCAACAAGCATTTCTTAAGCATCTGCTAGGTACTTGGGGGGCATGGTGAAAGTTTGTACTGTGGAAAGGTATGCAAAAGTGAAAATACAATAGTCTTTAAGGAGCTTATATTCTTTCAGCACAGGAACTACAACATGAAACACAGATAAGTAAATATTAAGCAATATCAAGAGTAAGAGAGTACTAAGACCCAGGGAGCTCAGGAGAGGTTTCCCACAGAAGCTGACTCCTAAGCTAGTCTTGAAGCATCCAGAATTGGGCATAGGATATTGATTTTGGGTAATAGTAGGCCAGTCTGACTGGTACAGAATGACAGTGAGTACTATAAAATAGGTTTAGGAAAATAGATGGGAGCAAGATTGTTGAGGGCTTCAAAATCCTTGACCGAGAAATGGCTTATGATTTGTATTCTGATGAACTTTTTTGTCTGTGGTTTAGATCATGGCAGACAGGAATACTTACCAGTTTTTAGATGACCACAGCTGGGAGAGATAGCCTGATAGACTGAAGGACATACTCAGCAACTATCAAGACCTTGACTTGCCTAAATATTGAGCTGAGTCTGAGGATGAAATGTAATAGCTAGGTAGCACAGTGGGTAGAATATTTGACTTGGAGTCAGGAGGATCAGTGTTTAAATTTGACCTCAGGTACTTACTAGCTGTGTGACTGGGCAAGTTATTTAACCTCAGTTTGCCTCAGGTTCCTCAACTATAAAATGGGTACAATAGTAGCACGTACCTCACAGGATTGTGAAAATCTATTTGTAAAGTGCTTAACGTAGTGCCCAGCACATAGGGCACACTATATAAATATTATTATTATCACCACAACCACCACCACCATCATCATTATGCGTAGGGATAAATTGCCATAATACAGTTGGCTCCAAAACATCAGTTTCAGAAATAGGAAATGAGAGAGGCATGGTTAAATACTAGTTTACCCCTAAAAGATTTGGCTATGTTAGTAAATTGTGAACTCAACATAAGCCATGAATGTATTTGATATTGCAGGTAAAAAAGGCAATGTGATTTTGTGTGAGCAT